GCTGCCTCTTTTCACTTGTGTATCCAAGTACACTTACATGGTGTGAAAAATTTCACTTAAGACAGTCGCGGTGTGTTTCCCACACAGGTAGGCACGAAGGCGGAAAGTCTGGACCGGTTTCCAGGGCGGTCGGTTGGCAGTGTTATCAAAGCCAAAGGCTTGCTTCGGACTTGTCTCCAGGGAGGGGGAAGAAGCTAGTTTCAAATATTCCTTCAACTTTTGTGCTGACCAAGTGTTTATTAATAGAAGTTGAATCCCCAGTGGGTTTTTCTTTGGTGAACTGGTGAGCTTGAGAGAAATCACAATGCCAAGAGAATGACTGTAAAATAATTATTCACCATGGCCTGCTGGGCAGAACTTTCTCAATAAGGCAGCCTCCGAGGCGCCTCGGAAGGAAGGACGCAGGGAAAGGGCAGCGTGGAAGTCTAACTGCAGCTCCAGTAGTTCTTGAGCCTTGGTTGTCAGTACAGGTAAACCCACAGAGGTCTCTCTGTTAGTGTGGGGCAGGGCATTACAGCAAATGCTGGAAATAGCGTGCATTCTGATCATGGTTATAGTCACCTTTTTCTTGTTTGGCTTAAAAAAAAAATCATCCCATAGGGAAACTCTTTTCTTCCACCAAGATGCTTCTTTGTGGAGAGGTTGAGAGTAGTGAAGGGATTAAGAAGTACAAATTGACAAATTGGAAGTTACAGAATAGTCACAGGGATATAAATTACAGTATAAGGAATATAGTCAATACTATTGTAATAACTATGTATGGGGCCAGGTGAGTACTGGAAATATCAGGGGGACCACTTTGTAAAGCACATGATTGTCTAACCATTATGCTGTACAACTGAAACTAATATAAAATAATATTGAATGTACACTGTAATTGGAAAAAAAAAGATGCTACTTTGCCAGCGAGCAACCATCTGGCAAAGGTAACTTCAATCTCAACCAGTTTCGGTGGTTCCATTCCAGTGGTGATAAGAACTTTTTTACCTTGTTCTGCTGAATATAGTAAACACACTTAAAGATGTACTTGAATTACACATGCATCTGAAGAGTGGAGGAGTTCTAGTCCAGATAATAGCTGAGGGTTTTCTTCTTCCTTTCCTTTTGTGCGGAGGTCGAGAACTCAGTAATACTGCAGTCCAGGCCAAAACAAACTCTATATGATCTACTACTGATTTCCTTTTAAGTTCCCCTTTTTGCTAGGACTGACTTCCTTTTATTTTACTCCAGCTTGCATTAATCCCAGTTATAGAAAGTTTCTTTCCTCTCTCTCTTGCCTCCAACTTCAAACATTTCTTTCATAGGAAACAAGTGACTTTTTTTTTGTTTTTTAAAGACCTACTTACAAAAATATAAAGGACACCATGACTTTCGGAATATATTTTGGCAGCCTGCAGTTTCAGAGTTCACTTCCGAACAGAGTTAGACAGGGAGCTGAAATGCCTACGTGACCACTGTGGTTGCTCTGAGCCAAACCACCTGCTTATCTGATCTCCTCTGGGAATAAGGTGGTTGACACCTACAATGGTTATTTAATAATTAGATGCTTTATTTGTCAGAGGTCATATATGCTTTGACCAGTGCCTCTTTCTGTGGGTTTTCATGATGAGAGCTGGGTGTTGACCGATGGTCCAAAGAGATCAGAGCCTGAGCATGCTTCGGCCCAGTATTTTTAGCTTGAGTTCACATTTTGTCCTCTCCCTAGCAGCAGTTATTGTCATTGCTGTCACTGACTTCCAGTTGAAAGATTGTGCCAGGCAAGCCTACTGACTGAGCTGGTCAGGACTCCCAGCCAGCAGAAGGCAGGATGTGGTTGAAATTGTGCTCTGATCCTATCGCTGGCCTCAGGAAACCTATTAGTAGCTTAGGGATTTTCTGAAAGTCCTTCCCATCCCACCTTCTCTCCCCTACTGAGGATTTACAAGCTGGGCTATCAGGACCACTAAAATCAAGAAGTGGAGCTCCTATTGGGATCTTGACACACTGTTCTCAGCTCAAGAGGATGTGTTGTGTGTGCATCTAGTAACTTTTTGGAGACAAAAGTAGGTTATGAGGCTTCTTTGTGGATGTTCTCTTTCACTTCCAGACTCTTGTCTGTATTATTATAATATTATTAGTAGTAGTATTTAAATGGTAGTGAGAGGATGAGGATCAAAGGCCAAAGGATGCCTGAAGCCTTCAAAGGGGGGCAGGGCAGGGCAGGGTGGGGGTGGGGGCATTAGGTAAGTCAGCTCCGGGCACCTCTCTGAGCCCAGGCCCTCCTCTGATGAATGGCGATCATAATTAGACCTGCCTCACAAAGTTGTGTGAAGAATATTGGAGATGTGTGAAAGTGCTGTGCAAAATTCGATAGATTAGAAAAATTAAAAATATTTCGTCTGTATAGACCTCAGAGAGCCATTACTAGAGCTTTACAACATCTCTGTAAAGTTAGACTGATTGAGATTAATATCCCCATTTGATGGATGAGAAAACTGAGGTGCAGAGAGCTGAACCGATTTGCTCAAAATCCTAAAACTTACAGAATAACACTGTCCAGCAGCAACATAATGCACGCCATATACATAATTTGGAATTTACCAGTAGCCACATTAAAAAAAAGAAACATTGAAATTAATTTTGAAATATTCTATGTAACCCAACAGTAAAATCTTATTTCCACATGTGGCACTAGCCAGATATCAAGTGCTCAGTAGCCACATGTGACTGGAGGCTACCATATTGGACAGGGCAGTATAGAATATTTATTAAGTGCCTACTAGGAAGGTACCGATAATGAAAACATACCTTGTATTTGAGGTATTAGGGGCCAAGAAAATGTCCTCAAAATATTTTCTCTTTGGGGTATTTCCTTATAGAGACCTTTAGGCATCTACTGGACTGTTCTTTGAATCTGTGGGCAAATTCCTAAATCATATTTGGGACTCATTAACCCATATGTATAAACTTCTGTCACTCATCTTGTTTCTCAACCCTCTTAAAAGTTAGGATTTTCTTAGTCTTATGCAAGGATGAAATAATTTCAGAAAGATCCCACATCACAATAGGGCCTAGGAAAATTGTCAACTGGAGTTGAATGATTTTAGTTGGTGAACAATTTTTTAAAAATTAGTGACAAAAATATAGAGCCGCCTGGGGAATACAATGCCCGTTGGCTGAGATTAATGGCAAGATTAATAAATGGATTGCTTGATGAAAAGGCGCAAGAGAACAAAAACCAGTAGAGATTGTGGAGGAGGCTGCTTATTAATGAACTGTCAGCCCAAAGAAAGTTCAAGAAACTCTCCTGTGTTAAATGCAGCAGGCTGGCACTTCTAATAAAAATTGGGGTCCTTCAGGAATTAATTACACTGGCCTTACAGCAAGAATTCGTGGAATTGAGAAACGTAGTGGCACAGACCAGCACCGGCCGCTGCTGCAAACCGGGAAGCTAATCTTTTTTTTTTCATTGATATGTAGGATATTGTAGTAGCATAATAGCCAGTCAGACATGGGGATGAATGATGGGGTCCAGATATACACTGACTAATGAAACTACACATACTTGGAGATTGAAGTCACTTCTCATTTCGTATGTAAAATTCACTTCTGGAATCTGATTTTCTCTTTATCTTCTGTACCCGCCACCAAGGAGTTCCAAATAATTTTCGGAGTGATTATATGAGAGGCAGATGGAGCTTACCTTGATTTATCATGCTTTGCCGAGAGAGAGCACAGTATTCATTTATTTTGAGTTGCTGTAATTTCCCGGTTTGGTTGGCTGGACGAAACCGTCTCTTAATTAAACTTTGGTGTTGCCTTGGCCCGAGGGATGAAGCAACCCAAAGGAATGCCATGACAAGATGGAGATTGTCCAGAATTTGCAATCTGATATCACACATTAGATATTGAAAGCTTCGTACCCTTTGTTCCCGTCCGCCATGAAGGTGGAGTGAAAATGTTCTGTAATGTGTTTAGACCAAGGGTTCCCAAACAAACCATTCATCTCATGGGTTTCACAGTTCACAATTAACCATTTCAGTTCAGGACCAAATTCATTCCTAATAGAGCTGGGAAATTTAGGAGATGCCTGATGATTGATTTATGTACTAGTTTTCTAGGAATGAGATACATAGGAATTAATTAACTAATAAAAATTTAAAAACATGTAAAATGATGTTTGAAAGGGTTGCCCATGCAGGATACTTTGAGAGGGGTGTTGTTTCAGGGCACGGATGTGCTAGCTCTTCTATAATGCATTTAGAGTAACGTTAAAAACACATGTGATAGAGATGTTTATGAGTTGTATGTGCAAAGTAAAAGGGAGAGAACACTTTTTGATTGGTTTACATGATAATGTATTTCTCCTTTGGGGTCTTAATATAAATGATCAGCCATTGTTTTCCTTAATCCAGCTTTATAGAACTGGGGTTGGGGCTTTAAAAAAAAAAAGCTTGTACCAGGATTATAAAATTTATAGAAAATGATTCTTGTAGGTTATGGATAGAGTTCATCCTCTTTTGCTTGTCACAGCCTTGAGGATTAGACCATCCATCACCCATCACTCTGACTTTTCAGGCCCTCGTAATCCACACGATACTTATCCTTTTGATTAAAACAACTTAATGGCCTTTTCACGAATAATTAATCTGCTGTCTTTTTACTTTCAGCTCCAGGCTTTTAACTTTAATGTTGAGTTATCCAGCCTGTGTTGCCTTTCAAAGTTTCACTCCCTTTAGCCTCTTCCCTTCAAAGGTTTAATACCTCTTTAGAAACTTCAGTGTTTGCTATACTAAGGTTTTTTAAAGGCTTGCAAGTTACTCTCACATCCTTTCTGCTGTGTGTGTAGTGAGTAACTATGCAGAAATCATGGGATGAAATGAAAATTATTTCAGACTCGTATTCTGTCATTCTGGAAAAACATGGAGACTTTTGCCATAAAGCCAAGTTTTCTGAAGAGGTAATCACACACTTAGTTTTTTGTAGTTATGTGTTTCTAACTCTGGTTGTTTTTCTAACAGTGACAATTTATACCAGATGACTTCCCAGCTTGAATGCATGACCTGGAATCAGATGAACTTAGGAGCCACCTTAAAGGGGTAAGGTTGTCTCTTTTCCATTGTCCTTAAACAGTAATGTACACCTGTTTGAACCATTTAAAGGTGCTTATAACTTACGAAAAGAGCACATTTTTAGAAGAATAGGCAAGACTCATTGTAGAATCAAGATGTTTCAAAGACAGCAGTTGGTGGGTTGTCTTTAAGTGTTAAATTTTCAAGCTTATAAATAGGGGATATTTTGTCTGGAATGAGGGAGTTGAGAATATTGGGAAAACTTAATATGGTCTTTACATTGGGTTTATTAGAGTTCTTCAAAGTTGTCTCCATTCATCCTTGTTTAATGTTTATGGTTTGCTAGTGAGATCACAGATGTTAACTATTACATTATCTTATCAAGAAATGCTTTGCGTTCACAAAGTTCAGGATCTACATTTATATTTGAGAGATGATGGTTTGGACTATACAGAATCCAATGTGCTCAAACCTGGCTGCACCAACAGGTTTCTTCACACATATACACAACTACAGTGGTGGTGATGGTAGGGGGAACACAGTTACAAACATAGGTAGGGGCAAGTCTTAGCACCTGAAAATGAACAAAGGCAAACAGGTGGGACTTGCTTTCAACAGGAAAAGAAATTGTTTTCAGTTTTCTAGCAAGTTTGAGTTGACAGGCAGTCAGATAAGGCACGTGGGAAGCTCCTGTGATATACTGGGTGATCTTTTGGGTCACCTCATCCAATATTCCTAACAACACTATGAGACCCAGGTGCCGTTGCCCTGTTTCCAAAGAAGTAAATCAAGCTACGAGTTACATAAGTACTCAAGTTTACATTGTATGGAGGGGTAGAGCTGGGACTCCAAGCCCAGATCTGATTCCAAAGCCCAAGCTCTTTTCAATCTCCCCAAGGGGCCTTTCACCCCACCATCAGCTCCAGTGGGATTGGGGACTTAGTTTAGCGCTCTTGACTAGCCAGCTAGCTTCATATCTCTGTATTTAGTGGCTTCTCATTGCATTCTGGGTTCTGGGGGGCTTTTAGAGCCATGCATGCTCCATTCCCCATTCCCCACCTCTTCTTCTCTTCTAGAGTTGCTGCTGGGAGCTCCAGCTCAGTGAAATGGACAGAAGGGCAGAGCAAGTGAGTGGAAAATGCGATGATGGCAAATGACGTAGGCCTTGCTGATGGTGCCTGGGGTGATGCAGGAGTTAGGACTGGCAGTGGGTAATCAGGGTAGCTGTGCATTGGGATGGGAGAAGTCTCCCCATCTCTCTCTTTCTGCCTCCTCTTACTTATAGAGGACACGCTGTGGACAAAAATGGAGGTGGTGACATGTCTCATCAGTGTATTCCTGGAAAACAATCTTTAGGATGTTACAGTAGGAACCCTGCTCATTTCCTCATGAATGTTTCATAAAATACTAGATTTGTAGCATTACACATATTCCTGTTAGATCAATCAGATTTCAGTTATACCTCACTTGCATTTTCTCCATTTACCTTTACATCTCTAAGGGAGAACTTCATTTTTACCCCAAGTGTGTGGCCAGACTTTCTGCAATGAATTTTTCATTCCAAACATCTGTGCCTTCCCAAGACCTGTAGCCTGCACCCTGGGACCTTTCTGTAACTATTTCTTTTGATTTCATTTTCTCTGCTTGAACACCTTCTCATCTTTCTTTCTTTTGTTGGCTCAGTGCTGTTTTTTGGATCACCCTTCAATAATCGGCGGAGTTGGTTTTCATCTCTTAAGACTTACTTCTAGATCCTTCTCTCTACCCCTAACGCCAAGTTTTTCTTTTTAATCTAAATCTTCACTTCCTCTCTCTAGACCCCAAAATAAGAAACTTCGTATTGATTTGAATTTTTTTCTCTCCCCTCTTTCATCCAAGGGACGCAGACAGTTGGAGCAGCCCATCTTTCCACCTGCTGTCACCTGGTCTTCTATTTCCTGGCTTCCTCGTCCCGCTCTTTCTTTGTGGATCTCTTTCTCCTTTCTTCCTTTTCCACTCACAATTCAACAGCCCTCCGCAAACTCAGTGCTAAGAACAGGAAGAACTTGATTGTGAAGTGTATTTAGTACACTTTTTAAAATATCTTTATGTCGGAGTACGAAGTTTGTTTTTTTTTGCTTAATTACAAAACTTACGGATAAGGAATCTTGGAATCTGCTTGAATCTGAGTCTTTCCATAGTTGAGATAATTTTGATATATTTTAAGGTCTTTAGACGTGTGCTGTTCGTCACCTACTACAGAGTCAGAAGCGATAGTGCAAGGAGGAAGCCCAAAGTGTGAATAATTTGTTTTGTTTTCAGTTCCACCTAAGAAAAGAAAAAATTAGAAGAGTTTTTTGCTGTTGTCGTTGTTGGTCTAGCGCTTACGTGTTGAAGAAGGATTTCTGAAATAAAAATGTATTTCTAGAATACTAACTTCAGAGAGCTGTATCGGAAGGCTCAAACGGCCCAGCAGACAGTCCTATGGAAGAGCAGCTCTTTGGAGAGCAGAAACAGTGTGCAGTTGACCCGTGTCTTCTCTCACGCTGGCTCTGTCCTTTCGGAACACAGTGTAAGGCAGCCACTGTCCGCTTCCATCTGTGGACTGAACATTGATCTAAGGATGGATGTTAACATTACCGGGCCCTGTGTAAGCGGCTTTACATATGTTTCCTCTTTTGATTTCACGACAATCCTACAGGTCCATCTTTCAGATGAGGAGGCTGGAGAGATCAAGCCACCTAACCGAGCTCACGGAGGGGTCAGTGGCAGAGCCACTTCTGTCTGACTCCAGATTCTGGACCCTAGATTAGAGTTTCTTAAGCTTTTTAGATTGTGACCACAGTAGAAAATACCAAGACACACATGTGCGCACACCTACCCAACACAGATTTTCATAAAACAATATTTGCCCTTACTCCATGCTGTGCATACTGGTATTTCCTACTTGATTCCATATCATCGTTAAAAACGTGTACATTGATTTCAGAAACCACACGTGTCATGACCCACAGGCTGCCCCTCTTTGAGCTCTTTCGGAGAACAGTTCCTTAGCTCTTTCCTCCAGGCCTGTGAACAGCCGAGAGCTGGATTCAACTGAATCTGTTTTCCAGTAGACAGTTTGGCTTTTCCCCAGGGAAAATCTGGGAAGGTGTCATTATTTTCTGTGGTACCGAATTGACTTTCTTTTGCCATGGTATGAAAACACTGTTACTATGGAAAATACATTAGAGAAAAGATATTTCATAAAGAAAAACAAGGAGAAATAACTGTCTTTTGCTTTAATCTGTAACTAGTGTCTTGACACTATTTGAAATCAGTGGTAAGGAAAGCCATGGTGACAAGGTAAATATATGACAGGAAAACTGGAGATTTGACTCATGGTTTGGAGAAGAAAGATATAATTCCCCTATTGCTCATAAAAATGAGGCATTATCAATTTTTTATTAAAAGATCATGTACTTCAGACTAACCTCCACTAAATATTTGTTCATGTCTTCTTTCCTTGAAAATGTTACTTTTATACAAAAAAAAGAATAGGCTTGTTTCCTCATGTCCTAACAAGTCCACGGAGACATCTTTCATTAGATGTCAGGGAGCAGTGATATTCTAATGGGCGGGGCGGGGACTTGAGGGGAAGGATGGGGAAGATGAGATGCAAACATGATATAATGGGGAGGGGAGGATACTCTTGCCACTGATTTACTCTTGTCTCCTTCTCCCTTGACTCATTTTCTAATCTCTGCATGCCCACTGGGACCAGAATTAGTTTTATGACCTCAAACGGGAGAATATTATATTTCAATTTTAAGTCAAAGAGAAGATAACTTTATGAAACAACTCTCTTAACTCTGACCCTTTACCTCACCCACAAACAAATGAAATTAGGTTTTTAAAGTGGGTCACTAAGAGAAAAAATTGCCGATTCTAAGCATCCGTCCACCTTTGTGAATAATTGTGTTTATGGTGCCTTGTGTTGTCTGCTTTTTATTTCCTGAAAAAGACTTGCTGTGTGTTTGTAATGGCTGCTGATTTTTTAAGGCTGCTCACAAGCCTTGGCTACTCTGTTAGCCTCTGTTTTGTCTCTCCTGAAGAAAATATCCTGCAAAATGTAGAAACACATCAACCTTGACTGTGGTCCAAGTTTTTAAAACAAGGAAGAAGTTATTCTCTGGGGATGTGGGTAGGGGGAGTGGGAAATCGAACACAATAGAAATGTTAAAGGAGTGCTGAACAAAATGAATGTCCCTTTGTTGGTCCAAGAAGTTCACAGACTGTTGGGAACACACAGTATTTGACCTGTGGATGCTTGAAAGGAAAAACGAAAGACTCGTGATGAGTGATGTATGGTGCAAACAAAGCTGCGCGGTTTGGTAGGGCCAAGGCTGTCGAATCTGGAGAAAATCCCCGCTAGACATGGTCTCATCCCAGAGAACCGGTGCCAAAAGAGATAGCTGTCTTCTCTGGCTGGGAGTTTCAATACACAGCCCGGCACCTTCCCGCTCCAGCTCGTGAACATAAGGTACTCGTCCAAGAGATTTACTTCTTGAAATCACATAGCCTGCTTTTAAGTGACTCCTGGAGCTTGAGATGCAAAAGCAAAGGTGGAGAGAAGCAGCTCTGTGAATACCATCATTCTTTTTTTTTTTTAAAGAATAGTTGATTGATTTTAGAGAGAGAGGAAGGGAGAAGAGAGCAACATTGGATGGCTGATGCGTCCTGCCCGCCCCCCACTGGGGATCTGCAACCCGGGGCATGTGCCCTGACTGGGAATTGAACTGGCAACCTTCGGGTGCACAGGACGATGTCAGCATTCTTGGGTGTATTCCCGCACCTCTGCCCCCAGCAAACAAGTTCACTTCTCTTTTAAATAACATCGATGCCTCGTAAGCAGGCAGTTCTTTGCCTTGCTTTGGCCTTGGCCAGGGTCTATTAGCCGTAGTACAGAACAGAGCATGGGGCTCTCGGCTTGCAGGATGGAGACAGAGATTCTGATTTGGACCCATGCCCCTGCTCCCCTCACAGTGGACTAATTCAGTTGCTTCTTTGCCTTCACTTCTTACTTTCCCTGCTGCAGCATTCCCTTCCCCAGGTGTTCACCTTTCCCACCCTTTTCTCCTTAGGCATCTATTCAATTGATGTGTTTAATTTTTATTTTTTAATTGATTATGTAATATGTATAAATTATAGAACAGTTAGAAAATATAAATGTATAGGGGAAGAAGTTAACACTCCCCCCGGTAGCTCAGTGAAACTACTATCGCTATTATGTTGCATATGCTCTAAGACCTTTTTCTGTGCCCACATATACATTTTGTGTCTTTTTTTTTTTTTTTTTAATAACAAATGATTGGCTTCAGCTTGGATGTAATTCAGCAAATGCATATCTATGGGCCACTGGAGCGTTCTGCGTTTCAACCTTCATGAAAGCATTGACTTTTCAAAAATATTGTCAACCTCTTAAAAAAATACTTCACTTAAAAAATATATGGGGCTTTATAGACTTACTGCCTCCACATTATGTTCCTAGCTCTTTTATTTTAAATCAAGAAATTTGTTTTCGTAAAATAATTCGAAAATGACAGGTTTGTTCAGATCAGAAGAAAGGAGCTAAGCAGAAAAGATAGAAAGGAAGGTGGTGATGAAGGGGCCAACCTGGAAATGAGGAGCATGGTGAACTCAGTGCAGGGAGATCAGTGGGGTTCATGAGAACTCCAGTCTGTTGATAAAGGGGTGTGCGGGTGTGTGTTGGAGGGGGAGGAGGTATAACAAAGGAGTGGAGGATATCTTGCATGAACTAAAGGAGTTTGGGGTCCTCTCATGTCAGTGATCCTAACTTGGTCCCTTCTGAGACTTTTACTCACTATTCATCTTTCTTGCTGTCATCTACCCAAGAAAAAAGCCCATTCCTTCCAGCTAGAAAAACATTGATAAAGAAGCTACACTTATAAAAAGTCATCCAAACAAATATTTATCTGAAATAAGGGCTACTGTACATTTTAGTAGATTTTCTTCCCTATTGAAAGTAAATAAGTTCATTTATTCTGGCTTTATTTATTTATAACTCTTCATTTTAAAGGCAAGCCACAGATGTAGTGTTCTTAAGGCTAAGAGGGTGACTTTATTGAAAATAAAAATAACTTCTTTT